ACGTTTTACGTAGCAATAATAAAATGCTTGCTTGTTAAAAACTCCCTCGAGGGCTACGGGCCCACCCCCGGCTGACATCTTCGTGACAGGCGGTCACGTGACCGGCAACCTCGCCGTCTCGGGCCGCGCACACGCGTGCGTCTACGTGCGGCCATAACTTACGCGGAGAACAAATAAAAACGAAACGAATTATTGAACAAATTTGTCTTAACGTCTGTTGTACGTCTTGAATAACTACAGCAATAAATAATTGAAATAAACACGCATCATTTGTTCTTAGTTCATTCAGTTTAGATGTATTCAATGACTGATTTATTAGTTGGAAGTTTGATTTGATGCCGTAAAATGTATTGTTGGTCGGTCGCGTGCCGCCCTTCCGAGCGAGCGAAGCGGCCGCGGGGGGCTATCACGTCATTCATGTGCGATATTATTTCGTCATCTCGTTCCACCCCCCCCTTGATTGAAATCTCTGCGTTGCGCACTTTATTTTCTGCTTGTGATTTCCAAGTGTGATTTCGCTGACACATTCCGTTGAATAGATCCGAGGGTTTGTTCAAAGTGGTTAAATTGATTTTTATTGAGTTTGTTAGTGTATGATACTTGAAGCTGATGGGGCTTTTTTGTTGGTGATCGAGTTAAATGTTAAACGTTATATCTAACTATGTATTACCATTGGGTATTTATGATTATTTCAGCTAGGGTCTGTAATAAGCCTTAATTTGATTGGGAAATATGTAATATTCTCCATCAAGAACAGGTGTAGCTGCTGCTGTAATTTATTTGTTCACAATGAGCCATCACACAAACCAAGTATGCCAATAGAGTAACGAGTTAAAACGCGTGACGTTATAACGCTTAGGTAAAATATTCACAGAATGGTTTAGGGTTACTGCGATATCCAAGATATTTATGGGAAGCCACGGCAATGGGGATGCTTTTATACGAGCAATTTGAAGTTGTAGACAGTTGTTGGTTAGGATAAAACAATTAACATACCTATGACGTTAAGCAATTAAAGCCGCCAGTAGACACCCGCAACACCAGAGGATTTGCTAATATGTTGACAGACTTTTGGGGTTATGCATTTGAGAATTATGTGTATTGGGGAGGTTTGAGCCTCGGATAATCTCATTTACACGGCGAAACATAACGCAAGTTTTGTTTCATGCCTGTTTTCTGCCGGCAGCCAATTCTTGACGAAGTATGAGTATGAACTACTACTTGTAATCGAGCTTTTTAGTATAAAACTGTTGAGTGTGATTATTAAACTAGTATCTTCGACCTGACTACTAAACGTGTAGATGAGAGAACGGATAGCAACAACAACAATCACTGATGTTGATTGCTGCTATTCTGACTGCACCGAATTGGATGACTCTTTTTAATGTAGTGTTCGTTTTCGTTATTTTATGTTATTTTTACATTGTCCGGACTTGAAAAGAGACTGACCTCTGAGTTTGTTTCGGCATTTCTTCTCAGAGTAGTCAGATAGGAAATGCCGGCTTCATCTAGTTTTTCACATATAATTTGACGTGTAAAAGTGCCGTTTTATGGCCTAATCAATCACCCTTTCATGGATGATCATGGCGAGACTTTTCTTCAGCTGTACGGGTACACATTTCCGTTGATGATGATGATGATGACCATGATGGAAATGATGATGTAAAATGAATACGCAAGTAAAGAGTAAACAAGAGCAAATATATTATTTAGGGTTAGGGTTAATGTGAAGGAAAGACGAGTTAATTAATATTAATGACCCTCTTAGTACACGTTACGTTACATCAATTAATTATTTATACCTGTCTGAGTTTGTACTCGCAGTATAAACAAAGGATTTTGGCAGATTAATTCGTTCTCGGCTCGCTACTTCGGTAATTACATGTTTTGGGTAATACGCTAAACGCATTAACCCTGTTATTCAATATAAGATATTTAAGAATTAAATTCATAGTTTTTCAGCTAATTACGTGTCACGATAGTACTTTGTTATTTAATAATATTGAACTGGAATTTAGGCTACAGTTTCAAAGTTAGATTGAATGCCTCATGGTGGTCCAGAAGCGGTGATGTGACTTTTTTCTAGTTATTGTACTTTCAAAAAATATTTAGACGTTATTGACTTGTACGAGTAGACGAAAACATCGAGAGGAAAGCTCGACTAAATAGTTTTAAATTATAAGTTTGACATCACTTATTCTTCTAGAACAAGTGTAGCGATTAATGTTTACCTTCTCTGAGTGAGACAAGCTCTTTGCTCAGTAGTCAGTAGGCACTTACTAGATTGGTGATGATGATGATGATGATGATAAAGCTAGATTCTACGCTGAATTACACTCGGTGATCTTGCTTACGATATAATGGTAAATCACCGAAACAGTTTCATAACTCGAAACTATAAACATTCCTGTACCTATTGTTCTGTGTCCGTATTTCTGGAACTTTCTACATAAACTAGTTTATAGTTTCGCTGCAAATTCAGCTGCATTGCAGCATTGCATCTGCAAATCAGTCACCTAGTGCGGTAATCTTGGGTTTGGCAAACATTTGTATACAAGGAGGTGAAGTATTTGTGCCAAGAACCAATAAATCGTTAATTCGATTTGATAGTGTTGCCATCGTTCTGACGGACTTTGGAACGAACGACCAAATTATACCTAATACACAAAAGTTTGAACGACTGTTTTGTGTTTTGATGGAAATTTCATGATACATACATGGATGGTTATGCGAAATATCTGAATATTAGTGTAGTCAATAAAGTTCCTACACAAACCTAGTTGTGTTGAAAGTAGAAACGTTCAGCTGAAATCACAAACTAAGATTCAATGGCGATGCGTGGCGCCTAATCAAATGGATAAGGAAAATAACAGTTTAAGTAGTTTACTGATATACCTAAATGAATGTTATAGACTGATATTATTATAACTGTTCAATTATTTACTAGCAGCTCATCCGCTTACTCACTTACTTAATAAACACAGATTGATAAATAAACGAATATAAAGAAGACTTTATGCAATATGCCAACTAAACTTACATAAATTGGCTGTCTTAAACTTCAATCGAAATATTGGATCCACAAAGCTTACTATTGGAATTTATGGTATTCCAGATTTCGAACTTGGAGTTTAAATTACAATTCTGACAATAGACAAACTTCTGGTCTATAACCATTTATTTAGTAAGCATTTGAAATTAACGACTTTAATAATTCGAAATGAAAACGTCGAACTAAAATGAATCGATGTTATCAAAACTTGTTCACGAAGACATTATTTGTGGCAATAGCTTTCATCCTGGTTTTGATTTTTAATTACGGTTTAAAACATATGATTCTTACTTTGCGCGCATAGGACTTCTTAGGGTGTACAAGTCGAGGTTCATAAATTTAACACTATAGGATCATGTCTAAAAATCTTGAGGATCTACAGGATCATTTAAATATTTTTTTCTATCTACGATCTTAAGAATAATATCACAGAAAACTGGCGTGAAACAATTACAGCTTTGTGTTTTACCATCTGAGTGAAGTTACCGGGGGCCCATCCTTCCCGTCCCTAAATCTCCAAAACCCTTTTTCCCAAAAGGTCGACAAGGTACTCGGAACTCCTTCGTTGTTGCAGGTGTCCATGGGCGGCACTGATTGCTTACCATCAGGGAATCTGTCGTCTGCTCGTTTACCGTCCTAGCACATAAAAAAATAAAATAATATCGGGAACTTAGTGCCGAATGGAACTGCATAAAAACAATTTAAAATATGCAACAAAGTCTACTGTTGAACTTATCTCTCTGTCCAACTTGTACAATAGAAAAACACGTGTTTTTGTAATTCGTTCGCGTGGCGCTGGCGTGGCAGTGAGTTGTGGCAGTTACTTTAGTCGACACGAAGGCACACACACGTCGAGTTCGATTCATACAAGTTGCATGCCATGTTCACAGCTGATACCTTCGATTTTCCATTCAACTGCCACGCCTATCGAACGTAGTACTGATAATAAAGGCGCCTTTCATGAAACTATATTACAGAACAATGTATGTCTTAAATGGCGGCAGTGCCAGATTTTTTTTATAGGAAGACGGCAATCGAGCTTTCTTATAAAACTTTAACACTAGAAAAGTTACGAGTGCGTTGCCGGCCTTTTGGGGATTAGGGTTTCGGAGGTTTAGGGTTTGAGAAAAGGAAGGCATTGGGCCCCCAGTAACCTCACTTGGTGGTTTCACGTCGGTTTTCTGTGAGGCCGTGGTATCATTCCCGCTTATGTCGACTCTCGCGTGAAATCGAGAGTTGTTATACAATTAAACTTTATCGTTACATGTCTCTGTGAAATAAAAACATACATATTTAATAGCTGTAATCTAATAAGTAGGTAATAGATACCAAATTGGGTACATATATTGAATGAACATACAGTAGCTATTGAGATTTTGATTAAGACTAAGTGCCAACAAAATTGAACAAAATTTCCATTACAACATAGTTTAAATTCGACAAAAACTGTCTTCAAGAAATATCTACTATAGATGACCTTACAAGATTACTATATTCCCCGGTCGTAGGCAAAATGAATTCAAGAATGATCTAGAAAGTAATGAAGCAAGGAGTAATCTTACGGAGAAATCAGAGAATCAAGATAATTGTGCTGGCGGAGAGCCAACGCGCTTCGATCGTTACTAGTCAAGGACTGGAAGATCACGATAGTATATACGTGGTACCAGCTGATGGTTTATTTTACTGCAGTACGGCCTATAACTGCTGGTTAGAACCATTTTATCACATTCATTAGTAAGTTTTTTTGTCAGGGGAAAATCATCAAATGACTTCTCCCACCCAGGGCGAGGCGAGAGAGTCAGCCTCTTACTGACTAAAAAGGATTTACAGATTATTTATAAACGATTATAATATTTATTATTAAGTATTTAATTAAGATTGTAAAATATAATGACTATGACTATATGCCTGCACGATTATGTATGTATTGTGTATGTGTCCATCACAGGAGAATCTCGTTCCCTGCAAGTGGAGGGCGCAGTGTTCGAGCGCGCCGCTGAGCTGCTGCGACACTCGCCCGAGTTCACAGTCCTCGCCTCGCTCAGGCAAGAGCCAGCCAACTCTGGCACTATACTCTCCTTCTCACATGGATACAACAGGTAACCACTGCCCGCAATGTACTCGATGTTGTCTTATTTTTGTTTTTATTTAAGTACAATTTTGTATTCGTAGCACGAATTCGCTTATGTGTTTTCTATATTACTGTAATGTAGTGTTTGAAACGGGGTCCCACAGTTCATAATATTAATAAAAAATACTTCATCCATCTCAAAAAATAGTATATAAAAACAAACAGAACCTTTAAAAATCAAATGAGTTCGTTTGGCGCTCATCAAAGCGTAGCGCTGGTCGTAGCACCTGCTACGCGGCGTAGCATTATTGTTGCTACCGCAGACTGGCTACCAATATTGATGGTTCAATAATTAAATTGTTGAAGTCTCGATTTGACGACTTAATTATAATATTCATCTGGTATCGAGTAGTGGAAGTGGATGGCGCCCCCGGGACAGTGGAGTCGCGGTGAGCGGCGAGTGGCGAGGGCGCGCCGCAGCCGAGGCGCCGCTGCGCACGGTGAGTTCTAGATCTCAACATCGCTGCGCGCACGCATGCCCCCGCCTCGCACGGCGGCATGCGTGCGCGCCTCTAGGGGAGAATCATGTATCTTGGAATGTCCTGTGCCTCGGAATGTCCTCCTCGATCCATCCGTTGACCTGATTGCGCTCACTGTCACATCTGCATGGATGTATGTGTGCGCGGACGGGCCGGCTTGCATGCGCCCCGCGCCCCCCGCGTCCTTCGCCGCCGTCCGTCTTGTGTTCTGTGTCTTGACGTTTTGTGTTCTGTATATGTCCGACCGCCCCCACGTTCCTCGTTCGATGTTCTGTTACCTGGATGTTGTTGTTAGTGGCCGCCCGCCTCGCGCTACTCCGAGGGGACTCCGCCGAGCTGATCCGCACTTGCATTCCAAGCGACATGGGAATCCTGTTTGTCTCGTATTGTGTCTAACATCTCGCGCGGCGCACTCGCCGTCTCCGCGCTTTGGTGATCGCAGTTAATTGTTCGGTCAAAATTCTCCCTTAAACAATGAGAGCGGTCACCGCGCACCGCCCGGAGCGACTAACCAGACACGTTAGCGTCTCTGTCGGCACCGAACGCAATCGTTCCGAGGTACATGGTCCCCCATCCTGGCCGAGCGATATTGAGATGTAGAGCGAGCCGAGGTCCGCTCGCGGCCGGTCCCGTCCCGTCGCCGTCCGATATATGTGTTGTTTGCTTTGTTTATGTGTACCTCGGAACAGTATGCGAGGCGGGGCGGAGTCGTTCCGGGAGCGCGCGTGGTGTCGCGCGGTGTGTCAGTGCAGCTGTGTGTCGCAGGTACCTGGAGGTGCAGTCGAGCGGGCGGCGCGACGAGGTGCGGCTGCACTATGTGGCCGCGGGTGGCAGTGCACCGCGGGTCGAGACCTTCCCGTTCCGGTTGGCAGATGGCGCCTGGCACCGGCTGGCGTTGGCCGTGTCAGGCGCGCAGGCCACACTACTCGTGGACTGCCACCCGCTGTATCGACGCCTCATCCCGCCGCCTGACCGCAACTTCACACAGCCACAGCTAGCGCTTTGGCTTGGCCAGAGGAACAGCAAACATTCCTTATTTAAGGTAACTTTAAAAAAATAAGCAAGTACTTAGCATATTCACTCATTTATTTTATAACTATCTAAAGACAACCGGGTTCAAAAACATTACTTGTACATATCATTTCAGGGTACATTACAAGAAGTAAGACTGGTGAGCGGGCCTCACGGCTACCTGGCACAATGTCCGGGGCTCGACTCGGAATGCCCCACATGTGGGCAATTCGCTCTGCTGCAAGCTACTGTGCAGGAGCTCACTACACATATCCATGACCTCTCACTCAAGGTGAAACCTCAACCGAAGCATAATTACTGATTTTAAATAAGAAAAATAACCTAGAAATTGGATGTTTCCCTCAAGAAAAACTAGACGAGTTTGCGTTTCCTATCTTAGGAAAAACAATAAAACTAATAAATCCAAATGACTCTACTTAAATGAAAAACATTTTGATGTATTCTGCAATGGTCTTTCAAATAAATAACCAAAGAAAATTGGTGGTCCTGTCCTGGTAGAAGGTAGGCTTGTATAATATTACATTACTAACCACTTTTACTTAATATGTTCCAGTTGGTTGGCACGGAGGCAAGGTTAGCACGACTCGAGCAATGTGATTGTCAGAAGTCGTGCTTCTCCAACGGCACAGTCCACGCTGACGGTGCGACGTGGCAACGAGACTGCAATCGGTGCTCCTGTGTGGTATGAATGCTTCTAGACCACTATTTAACACACTGCACCTTTGTTCTAAAAGGAACAGGCGACAATGACAGAGCTTAATGAGATCGTTGCCAAAATACTTTTCATGCGTCTAGTATATTCGTGCATACAAAAGCGTTGGTAATGTGTACATATATCGCACCTTTTCTCGAAAATTCTTCTTGAATAAATTTTCAGGTTCAGAATGTCATGTCAAACTAAATAAATGTTTGTTATTTGTTTGTCAGCACGGCGAGATAACGTGCAGGCCAGTCGAGTGCGATAGAGCTGAGTGCAAGAACCCGGTGCTGCATCCGGGGGAATGTTGCCCAACATGTTTGAGTAAGTATTACATACCCTAACTTCGTTCTACTACGACTGAAGCTTAGAATTTTCAGTAACGCTAACCTCAGGATAAACTGGAAATTACCGGAGGAAGTTTATGTTGATTAGTGTGGTTTGGCTGATATGGTGACGAAGAGGTCTACGTCGACAAAAAAAGAATTAATTAGTTGATCGGAACTTTAGATCAGATATTGTAGAATCGACCTTAATTTTTCAGGGCAGTGCCTTCTAAAGGGAACATTATACGAGCATGGGGAGCGCTTTGCTCCGAAGGAGTGCGCGGAGTGCGTGTGCCACGATGGCAACATGCAGTGCACGCGCGTCGACCCCGAGGTGGCGTGTCCGCCACTACCGTGCGACGTCGCCGACCAGTTCACTGTGCCTGGCGAGTGCTGCAAGTTCTGTCCAGGTAACACGTCTTCTATAGAAGACCATATTTTATTATTCATACACTGAAATTATCAAAGGTTTAGAGAATGTTATTACAAGCCGAATGTGTAAAAGAGTAACCATGGAGTTTCTTGCTCGTTCTTCTCCATTGGAATCTACACTTTGGAACGAGCAAATAGCTTCACTAAGAGGGCAGACCGACAGACTGACACTCTTTATCTTTGTTTGGCGTTCAAAACTGCCGTAAGGGTTTGTCACACATGAACGTGCCATTTATGTTCACAAATAAACCGTAATTGAAATAAATGGCTTTGAGTTTGACTTTGTGAATATAAAGAAGACTAAGCAACAGCAGAGATGGTGGACTGAAATGTTGATGATGACCATGTTACTGCTTTAGTCTCTTATTTCGGCTTAGAGCAGTTAGAGCCAGAATAGGTTGGGTCTGGTTTTTCTTATTGTGTTTCAGTAGGTACCTACACTGAGTTGGAGGCTATCAAAACAATTACAGACATTAGTGCTAATTTTAAGTTGTATTGCACAGGGGTGGACTACTGCAGCATGGGGCACTCGTGCGATGAGAATGCGACGTGCATGAACCTCAACACCAAGTACACTTGTAAGTGCAACCAGGGCTTCCAGGGCGACGGACTTTCTTGTCAAGGTAATTAATTATTTTTTTCTCCCATTTCCACTAACGCGTCGTTGACAAGATAATAGGAAATTAAGGCATTGCGCTGACCCTTAATAATATAAGATAGGCCCCGGAGTGAAGAAAGAAAGGTATTCGCGGTCACACATGTAGATATTGGGGTCTGTTTTGTCAAGTAGGAGAAGTTTCAAAAAGTTATTTTCGTATATTACTGGATTTTGGATCTGGATTACCTAGTGGTAAGCAATCATAGCCGCCCATAGATACCTGCTACACCACAGGAGTTATGAGTGCGTTGCCGGCGTTTTAGGGATAAGGGTTTTGGATATTTAAGGGTAGGGAAGGGATAAGGAGAGGGGGAGGGATTGGGCTTCCGATAACCTCACTCACACGGCGGAACACAACGCTGGTTTGAAACAACCACAGCGTTGTGTTCCGCCAGTTATCTGTGAAGCGAGCTGACCAATTCGTACCAAAGCTTGGCTCTCCCACACTTAAAGATAATTCTTAAGCATTTTCGATCAATTGTATTCATACGCGGCATTTCAAATTGTCATCGATGTACTCTATTGTTCATTTCTCTTTCTTCATTCTAGATGTTGACGAATGTCAGCGTGCCGGAGGTCTGGACGGCCACCACTGTCACTCCAACACGCGGTGCGTCAACGTGGTCGGGGGCTATGTGTGCCAGTGCTTGCCTGGGTACACCAGGAGAGACAAATTCAACTGTGTAGAAGTAAGACTGCAGCTTAAAAATAATAGTACATTTTTTTATGTGTAGGTCGGCAAACGAGCAAACTGATTACCTGATGGTAAGCAATCAACGCCGCCCATAGACATCCGCAACGGAGGAGTTAGGAGTGCGTTGCCGAATTTTAGGGATTAAGGGTTGAGGAGGGGTTGGGGGCGGGGAAGGATTGTTGGAAGAAAGGTTAGAAGGTTGTTTCACGCCGGTTTTCTGTGAGGCCGTGGTATCACTCCGGTCGAGCCGACCCATTCGTGCCGAAGCATGGCTCTCCCACACTTACATTATGGTACAAGTGTGTAATGTTGATGATTAACATCTCACGCGTGTATCATACGACGTTTTTTAACACATTTCAGAATAAATTAATACTCAAATAAAAAACTTGATAAGAGAAAACGAGAAGAATTGTAAAAAATGTTTCATAAAGGCGGGAAAAAAATATCAGTATTTCTGTGCGCGCGCATCGGCCATAGACTAAAAAATTATGTTTCTTTTTTTTTGGGCTTTTCGCGGATAGCATTTTAGAGCAAGTGTAAGCGTAACTCAACCAATACAATAACTCTATAAACTCACTTGTTAATAAATAGTATTGAAAAAGTCACAGTTTTATTATAGGTTACGTGCCTGCCCAGAGATTTGAGCCACTTTATGAGAAAGTGTGTTAAAATCAATATTAACTATGTTTAATCCTAGCTGTTCCTTATTCTATCGCTCTATGTACATATTACAATGCGCTTATGATTCAGTAGCGTCCGCTAAAGGGCTGTGTTCGTTGATTTGAATATTATTATTTTCTTCCAATAATTTCGTCTTCATTAAATGTTTGTATTATATTTTCAGGTAGACGAGTGCGCGGGCGAGACTCACGGCTGCCACGCGCACGCTGTGTGCACCAACACGCCCGGGTCATACACGTGCCAGTGTCGTGAGGGCTACACCGGGGATGGCTACGAGTGCTCGCGTATGTTCACGATATTATGGTTGCTTTGTCACAATTAGCTACTTTTTCTTTATGAGATAGGTCGTAACGAGCAAACCGATTACCTGATGGAAAGCAATCAGCGCCGACTATAGACACCCGCAACAACGGAGGAGTTATGAGTGCGTTGTCAGCAACGCACTCCTTTTGGAGATTAGGGATTAGGAGGGAGATAGAATTTGGGATTGGGGTAGGGGAAGGATTAGGCCTCCGGTAATCTCACTCACACGGCGAAGACGACGCTGTGGTTGTTAACACTCCGGTTTTCTTTGATGCCGTGGTATCCATCACTCCGGTCAAGCCAACCGATTCGTGCCGAAGCATGGTTCACCCACACTTAGCATGGCTTTCCCACACTTAATTTTCTTCCGTAAAAATGAAAAATATACCTATATCTATTTCTCTATCGATCTTTTGTTCTTAAAGTTATCGTTCAGGTTTATAATGGGATATTCTTTACCAGCAATCTGCACGGGAGGGTGCCTTAACGGCGGGGTGTGTGTATCGCGCGAGAAGTGTGCGTGTGCGCACGGGTTCGGCGGCACGCGGTGCGAGCGCGACGTGGACGAGTGCCGCGCGGCCCCCGCCTGCCCCCACAACGCGCTCTGCGTCAACACGCCCGGCAGCTACTACTGCGTCTGCGCACAGGGGTACACCCGGGACGCTGTATTGGACACCTGTCAAGGTACTACTTGTAACCTATAACATCCTTTTTTAGCTTTCCATTATTAATCGTTAATTGTTCACTCTTTTCACAGTGATTGTGGTCATAAAATAAGAAATGATTGCATTTTAACTAAAAAGAATACATATTTTATGTATACATAATAAAACCAAATCACTGTATGATGACTGCACTGCTGGAGCTATAGGTGGGCAACAGGCTGCCGTACAACGTGTCGCGGGTTTGATTCTCGCTTGAAACAATTCTTTGTGTGATTTACAAGTTGTTGTTCCAGATCTAGGTGTGATGTATTCATGTTTGTAAAAGCACTCACGACACAGATGAAAATCCTAATATGGGAAAAAGCATTCCTTATATTAAGTATATTGCCGTTTTGAACCCATATTAGCTTATGGCCCACCTTATATAAAATGGATTCTGACCTTGTTGTATTGTGTTACAGACGTAGATGAGTGTGCGGAAGGGTTCCACACGTGTCACCCGAGCGCGCGCTGCGTCAACACTGACGGGAGCTTCAGATGTGAATGTGACTCCGAGGAACATTGTGAATTAAGTAAGTCGATAATTGCAGGACAATCATTGGCTACTGCGGCATTCGTGATGGGATGCCCGCGAGGCGCAACTCTTTGGTAGTGAGCTTGGATGTGATAAAAATGGTTTTTAAAGTCACCAGTTCTCTTGAAGGAAATTCTAGCGGGTGTCATACTATATCTATAACATAAGCCTTTACGACATTCTAGACTACTATTATGCTGCACAACAGAGTGCTGATAAAATCGACATGTTTTCAGGTTGTTCATGGCAAGGTCGTATGATGGCGGATGGTGCGTCGTGGTCAGAAGCTGGTGGCTGCCGAGCATGCGCGTGCGCAGCTGGCGTTGCCTCCTGTCGCCTCGCCGCCTGTGCCTGCGATCTCCTCGACAACCATACCACTGCAGTAATTACAACAATGCCAAAACCTACTACTAACAGAACAGACCCTGGCGTTGCTTATTCAGTGCGATAACTTAATATTGATTAGTTGCAGAGCACGTCGCTGCCGAGCCTGGCACCGGCTTCGTGCTGTCCGCACTGCGAGGCTCGCTTCCACTGCCGCCACCAGGAGATGCACCACGTCACCTTCCGCAGCGGGGAGCGCTGGCTCTACCAGTGCCAGATCTGCGAGTGTCTAGTGAGTACTAGTAGTGTATGTGACTACGTTCGCAAATAGACCATAACTGTATGAGCCTTATTTGTGCCTTTGTGGTATGTTGGTGAGATATCTGTTTTTTGCTTTCAGCTTGGTGAAGTGGATTGTTGGGAGCCTGAGTGCGGAGAGTCGGGCGCAGGTTGCTGCGCCCCGGGTGCGGTGGGCCCCGACGGGACGGACGGGGCCGGTGGGCCGCCGCGCCGGCTGGAGCTGGGCGGCTGTGCGCCCCCGCACTGCGCCGCCTGCACGGTGCGTCACACGCTCACCTGATGCATCGCACACTCCGACTCTCGGGAGCTTGGCAGGATACGCTCACAGTCGCAGCGCATTCCCTCATGCATAATCAATATTTCCACAATAACCTAATCATGTCATTACTAACACTTGACGTTTCTGAAGTATCTTCCGAAAATGTCGTCGCATTTCCTATTTGGCCCTGAATGTTGTGTATCGTATAACGAGCGACTGTGTGACGGGCGCATGCCAGGCTCGCGGGGCGGGCGTGGTCGTGCAGAGCTTGAACTAATCGCTTGGTAAGGCCCGAGGCCGGCGCCGCCAGAGCGCGGTGTCCGAGTGTGATCGCATTATGCTTGTTGCAGGGCGGCCAGTGTGCTACTTTGGTGAGCAATCTCGCGTGTTGTGTGCATCGGTAACCATCCCCACTCTTCTTATTCATTCATACATCTGCTCTATTAACACGTGTTTTAGCTTGAGTCCTTGATTTAATTACATGGGTCCTTAATACAGGCAATACTTGAATATATTATACATACATATAGTACAGTCTACAACTTTATCAAAACTGCTTATTGCTTGTATACAGTTTACCGCTGCTGCAAGATTGGATAGTCACAGACCTCTGAACATAGCAGTCGAAACTCGAAAGGCATCTTTTTGTTTCCTGTTTTTTTGTATAAATTATCTGGTTGATTAGTATCAACGTAGTCATCCGATTAGTTATCATTCTGTAGTTCGTATCTATCTTGTACAGTATTGTTCTACTCGACCACCCTAGCTCACAGCCAGCGCGGTCAAGTAGTACATGTATTAAATTGAGGACATTCATTCTAAAATCATTTTATGTTGCATGTTTTATCATTTACTCATCAAGTACATTTCGTAAAGTGTTGCTTCTATATTTTTGACTCAACTGGAATGTGTCACGCTGTCAATGGCCTGACTTTTTAAGTTATGCATTCACTATCTTTGTCTCGACTTTCTGTTGTTTTTCACCTTCCCCCACTAGTTTAGAAGTTAGATAGAACAATAAATAAACTGGTCGAGAGCACTCCCGATAGAGTGGAGGTAGTGGTAGTGCTGCGAGTAGCGCGGCGGAGTAATGTGCTGACGAAGTGGTGGTGCTACAGCGCGCGGCGGGCGGTGCTGGCGCTGACGCTGGTGGCGCTGTGGTGGGGGCGGCGGGGGCGCGCGGGGCGGGGCCGCGCGCAGCACCGCAAGCACCGCGGCGCGCGGCGCTAGAGCCGCCGTGAGCTGCGCGCGCGGAGGACGCGACGCCGTCTCTATTTATTCTAGATAGCTCTAATGTTACCGCGGCGAGTGGCCGCGCGCCCGAGCCGCCCCTTCCGATTCTAAATTTAAACATAAGTCGATCGCTTACCATTATTATCCTAGAGTTAGCTGTTGCGGGGGGCGCGGGGCGCGAGGCGCGGGGGCGCGGGGGCGCGGGGCGCGCGCGGGCGCCTGACTGTATAGTGTACGTGTGTACGTGTGTATAGTGTAGAATGTTACGAGTACCATGCGCCCGCGCGCCCGCGCGCCCGCGCCCTGTTGTACCAAATTTTTCATAATATATTATAGTTTTTGTTTGACTTTATATAGAGATCGTTTTTCTTGTATAATTTGAAAGTAACCAAAAATAGGTACCAAATATAGAGAAAGATATGATTGTTTTTGATTTTCATAAAGCATTTTAATGCTTGCATGTTGTATTGTGTTCAAAAAAATTACGATTAAAAAGATATCCTCGATATACACTCTTATTATTTTCCCTTTAATCCCCGTTTTGAAAAATAAACGAGTGCAGTCAACTAGGACATTAATTTTACACATTTACAACAAACTTTTATATAATTTAATTGACGTTTGGAAGTAAAATTTAAATACAGTTCTAAAGTTTACCTAATAGTTTTTCAAATATAACTCTTATGATAACTTAATCTGAAAACTGGCAACACTGTACTGGTTACTGATGTCTTTGTTGAGTATGTCGATAGTGACGACAGGCACACCACTTAACTAACAGCTAATTCAAACCACAAGTTGAGACCAGAGTATTTTTGCCTCATAAAGGCATGATGATTTACTTTTAATATTTCGTATCTGTTTAAGAATACAATATTTCATAGACCATGCCTCTATATGCAGCCTTTGACTGCATAAATAAATTTAAAATTTGTGGCAATCAAAACAATACGTCTACCGTATTAAAATTTGTCAGTGTCATGAGTGTAGCTTAAGGAGACCAAAAGCTACACTAACGCCATCTAGCCTCAAAGGTGGTAGACGTCATTTAATTTTCAGTTAAAGTGTTAGTTCAGAGTTGTGCGGGAGTACATGTGTGTTTAGATGGGATTGTCGTGCGGCATGGCGGCGGGCGAGGTGAGCGCGACGAGCGGGGGGGGCGGCGCGTGCAGGGCGTGCGGGGGGCGCGGGGCGTGCGGGGGGTGCGCCAGGCACGCCACGCGCAGCGCCTGCGGGGGCTTGTAGCTGCGCGCCGCCTCCCCGCGCTCCACCACCCCCATCACCATGGTGTACGCTGCCGCGAATAGTGTTACCGTCTGCAAAGTCCAAGTATAATTCAGTAAGGATTCATGTAAAAGACAAAGAGCTTGTTAGGTGCTGAGTGTGCTACGTTGCAGGGTTAAGGTGTCCCACGACAACTAGTTGTGTGGTCCGCAAATGTATTCTTGTATTTTCTGAAATATAGGTACATATGTCTCTAAGCATACCTATCTACAAAAATCACACAGTACCGTAATACTAGTGGGAGTTTCCGCGTAATAATCAAATATAGCAAAACCAATGACCGTTGGCGTCCCGGTGCCTTCGTTTTGTTTCCAGACAATGTTGGAGCTGAAACGTTCCCCAGCGGATATGTAAGAACCGCTAAGGATTTGAATACTTTACTGCGATCTATTTTCCCCAAAAGGTATAAACCTGGATGTCTTCAAGGCCCTAGTGAATAGGTTGCTTATGGGTAGGCGTACCTACTGCTTCGTAGGTCGCATCAGGCGTACTGCCTACTACCAGGCGAGATGGTGGCCAAACGAAGCCAATATATAGATAGTGAATGGAAAAAATATTGCATGGTGTGACAATAAATACAAAATGTCGTGTAGTGGCAGAATAGGAAGACCTGAACAATGAGCTGATTAGTAGGTATTATACTATCCGATACACTTGAGAGAAACACTGATCCTGGTAATATAATATACAATTAATGGTACAAATGCTTACCATAACAACAATCATGGCGGATGACAGCGCAGAGAGTGAGTAGGTGAAGTATCGGAGCTCGGCGAGCGCGGGCCGCAGGCAGCCCATACTGTATAGAGGGCTCTCGCACAGGTCACCGCGCTGCCAAACAAAACTATACTCTAAGGGCCACTATATGTATTGTATAACAACTACCTTGTAAATTCCATCAATTATTTATACTAATATTAGAAAGAGGTAAACTTTGTAAGTTTGTATGTAGGGGGTAAACTTTGGATCCGCTGGTCAGATTGCCAAAATTCTTTCACTGATAGATAGCTACAATGATCTATAGGCTATTACACATCACGCTACGATTAAACGAGATTAGCTAGTTTTGAATAAAACAACTTGTTTTTTATTGTTTTGATGAATTAAAAATGATGTATTTTTAATGTACCTATTGTTTGTTTTTTAATACTTAATATTTCAATTATATCAAGTATCAATTTTGTACCTATTGTAACATTAAAACACACAAGTTGTTAAATGAATAAAAAAAAATACTAAAAACTTTTGCAAAGCTTGTTCTCAATTTCAGTAGTGCTTGGCTTCTTCAAATTTGGTGCTAGCACGTTCTGGATTAGATAACCATTCCGAAGTTTCAAACTATATACATAGATACCTGTAATATTATAATATAAAACGAGTTTTTACATATAACTATATTCTAAGACAATAGGGAAAATATAAATTACACAATAATATACATATGTCATTTCAACATTACCTTTCCGCTCCACACCCGTCCGCAGCAGGCTGGTGGCAGTGTGCGGCGGTGCTGGTACCAGTCAGAGTACGACTGCACGCCACAACATCTCAGCTGGAAAAAGGAAAGGCGTACCTACAACAGCATGTTGGCACACGAGCAGGCGGATTACCTACCTGGTGGTAAGCAATCAGCGCCGCCAATAAACACTCGTAGTACCAAAGGAGTTACTACAAGTGCGTTGACGGCCTCTTGTGGATTTAACGACAACGGACATTTGAGGATTGAGGATGGAGGTAGGACGGAGGAAGAATTACGCCTCCGGTAACCTCACTCACACGGCGAAGTACATCGTCAGTATTTCTTCACGCCCGTTTTCTGTAAGGTCGTGGTATCACTCCGGTCAAGCCGGCCCATTCAGGCGGAAGCATGGCTCTCCCACGCTTCTTAATATACTGCACGAGAGACTCGCAAGATCTCCGGCGAAAACTACAAGTAAGGAGAAATATGTCAATACACGTCGGCTTGTCTGTGGTATTGCTCCTCATTGACTGCTATAATCGAAGATTTTCATTCTCAATATTAAAGTTAGACTTTGATATTACAAACTTACTCAAATTAGGGATCTACCAGTGTAAACGCAACAATAATCAAGAAACAATGCTTTCATTGAACTTCCTTTTATTCCTGGTATAGTACTATCTCGTCATTACTACTATTTAATAATTAAAAACGATAGTGAATAGATTGCTTATAGGTACCTCAACTTGCATGGCGGCGAAGGAGCTCCTGACCGCAGGGTCCAAAGCGTCAATGGCCATGGCTCGCAGCATGCTGTTGTTAAGTATGGCCGGCTCCCGCAGCGCCCGCGACAGCCCCGAGATCGACGACAGCCCTAGTGACAGCATCACCATCGCCACACTCACCAACGCCATCAACTGTGGGAAGTGGGAACATTCGGTAGGAGGGAAAAGTTCATCATCACCGGTACCAATGTTAAACAGGCCTCTAAAACTGATGGTCTATAGAATTCTTGATGTCGGTCTTGTAAATCAAGCCACGAAGATTAAAAAAACACATTTCTCAAAATACGAGCCATTTGCTATTTGTAAGGAATAAGAATGTAAAACTTACTACTTAATATAATTACGCGGGTAGTATTAACGCGAAAAGTAATTATTTAAGTACTTTGGCTTGACGTTTTGACCTGGTTGCACAGGTCGCAAACAGACTTGAATCTAAATAATTACTTGTCGCGAAGCGTAATTTTTTTTTTTTTATGTTATATGTCGGCACACGAGCAGGCGGATTACCTGATGGTAAGCAATCAGCGCCGCCCATGGACACTCGCAACGGAGGAGCTACGAGTGCGTTGCCGACCTTTTAGGGATTAGGGATTTGGAGATTTAGGGATTGAGGAGGGATTAGGGGAGGGGAAGGATTGGGCCTCCGGTAACCTCACGCACACGGCGAAACACAACGCTGTGGTTATATTATGTTAACATGAAACGCAAAAGTTTAAAAGTTGGTTCCACTTACCGTGCCAGTCAATGGCAGGGACCTGACGTGGTATGGCACTACGGTGGAGAGCCAGGAGGTGGGCAGACACAGCAGCGCGCCCGCCAGGAACATGTTACTGGAGCTCAGCTCCACGGCGAGGTCAGTAGTCCAGAAGTAGTACGACATGCGCAGCAGGCTCCATGCCACCGACCAGCCTAGGATAACCCCACCACTCTGTTCGTGGACGCAACATAAATGTAATATACTTAGTCAAAGACGCATACAAACAAAAAGGTTACAGTACTATACTTATACATAATTATATGTATATACACCCCCCAATTAGGATAGATAATTACATACATATATTCCTCCAGCAATCGAGAATTGTCCTTGGGACATTACCTGCTTTTTTTGTGCGAAAATCATCAAATGACTTCTCCCGCCCAGGCTAAGGCGAGAGGGAGTGTTAGTTAGAATCTTACTGACTAAAAACACCACCATTCCTTCTCTTGCTCTAGACCGAAGCCTCGGCACCATATTGCGCTTGAACCACAACTTCGGCTGCATTACCAGCCTACCCGAGGGACTTCCTGATAGGTCATTTAGAAGCAACCCTGAAGGGATCTACTGTTTCAAAGTACTTATCAATATCAATATCAGTTACTTAGTTTGAATGTATGTTAGTAAATATACTTACAAGCAGCAGGCCAGCACACGCGAACAACACCAGACCGCTGCTTCTCATCCCGGTTTTCTTTTTAATACTTTTTTATAAATATATTATTACTAAACGGTTAATACAATTTCAATATTGTTTCTGACAATAAAAGTCACGCCACAAATTTGAAAGTGATTTGAAAATCGATTGCATCAAAAAACTTTTTTAATATTTGTAGGTACCAAAAGTTGCAAAGAGGAAATATTGAGGACCCGCGTAAGTAGGTCAAGGTGTGATAATGATGTGTGGGTTTTGGAAAACGAATTTCGAGTAGTTCTACTTTCTGAACAAATGTGACTTTACATGTTGTAGAGCTTACACAACTTAAATGGGCCATTTCGACTGAGAAATTACACCTTCTCACAAAATACCAGCTTGAAGCAATCCTTAATACTTTGTAATAAAGTCGTAATTTTTCATTGCGCGACATAACTCTTGCCCTGGAGACTATTCATACATGGTGTTTATCCTGTATATAAGCGGACGAGCACGTTAATAGCAATGGACCATGCCAGACTGGAACAACGGGCACCACTCTAGATTCCAAGCAAGTACTGAGTACTGATATATACGCAAAATATTTTAAAGCTTTGGCTGACTCAGGAATAACAGCAGATGCACTGTTTAACAGTAAATTAATACGAAAAATATAATAAAATATATTTATTTCTTCATAAAAATAAAAGCTAAAAGTTAACAACAATAACAAAAACAAAGATAATTTCTAATAAATTAATTGTCTGATTTCTAAGGCTTTACAGATCTAAACTATAAAATGGCGCTAATTTAAAAAAAAAAGTACATCGCAGTTTTTTCCTTTTTGCTACATTATTTAAGATGTTTAATCAGTGGAACATTAAAAAAAGTTGCGTCATCATTATTCTAAACTTTTTGTCTTCACTGACGGTTTGTTTCACATTGATTGGATAGCTTCTATGTATCACATTAATTTGACTAAACCACGTGCCCATTGCAAACTTAGTTAAAATTGGCGAACGTCAAATTGTGTATTAACAGAGTCTGTGCTTAAAAAAATATTGTAGCCTATTATATTGCACCTACATGTTTAATTTATTACTCTATGTCAATTTAGGTGCTAGCTTGTACATGCAGCGCCGACTATCGCTGTTAACATTTACATATTTATAAATCTCATTTTTAAATATATTAGATCTAAATAGCTTTTAAGAAACAAAACAAGGTAAACCATGTCAAAAATTGTATACACCAGAGTATCTCAATACAATCATTTGATGCAAAAAATCCACTTTTGTCTTAGACAAACATAGAAGATAGTTGAGAACCCCTGCCATATAAATTACAGTAGGTTATCGGAATATCGATACCAACATCGAAATCGGAATATCGATACCGACATCGATATCGATATCGGAATATCTATACCAACATTGATATCTATATTGAAATCGGAATATCTATACCAATATCGAAATATCGATACCTATCGAAATCGGAATATCGAATATTGACTAGTCTTCGTGTCACAAACTCTTGGCCTTCCTGTCTTTAAGCAAGCTGGTGATGAAAAACTCTCCAGCTCTATACGAAGACCTGACGAGAGGTCCACTGGCGGTGTAAAGGAACCCAAGCTCATTGCCCCGGACCTCCCACTCCTTGAACTTGGCTGGAGTGACGTACTCGAAGACTTTTAGATGTCGTTTGGTTGGCTGCATGTATTGGCCTAATGTTAAACAGTCGACACCCGCTTCACGTAGATCTGGAAAAGAAAATGTGTTTTAGGTTGTGTTGCCGGGCTTTCAAGAACTAGGTTTTTGGAGATTCAGACATTAAAAAGGGGTGGGGGCAGGGGAAAGGATTAGGCTTCCGGTAACCTTGCTAACACGGCGCAACAAAACGCTGTGATTGTTTTACGCTGGTTTTCTGTGAGGCCGTCGTGTTATATACTGTTATATACTACATTATAAACCTGTACATTAAAACTGGTCCAACCTGCCTGAGAGGAGATCATGGTATTCATGTGTGAGGAAGCTAATGATCTACTGTTATTAAGATTACCTTTCATAGTTTGTTCCACTTGCTCGTCAGTTTCGCCGAGTCCCAGCATGATTGATGACTTGGTGATCAGGTCCGGGTTCACTTCTTTAGCCGTCTGGAGCACCTTCAGAGTTTGCCGGTATCTGGAGAATAACATCGTTGTTTTTATGAGGATCGGGTCGTATTTATTGTAAATAGTTTCTGAGACAAGAAAGGAGGTAAATTATGTATATATTCTTGTTTCTATAAAAGTTTTGTATTGCGTTTTATTTTATATAAAAATAATTTACCAAGAAAACCGTCTTACATTAGTGGAATTGAATTTATTTAGGTAATGGCCATTACTATTAAATTAATACCTAAGACAGTATATGCGTCTATCTGACTAGTTTCGAGCCTTAACAGGGCCCTTAATTGAGAGCGGTGCAACTCCGAAATATCGTCGTATTGAAATTATTAATCATGTTATTTTGTATGTTTTAAACCTTTTAACTTTTACAAGGTGTTAAAGTAATTTTGTAATATGTAGTTACCCGGCTCTGGGATCCCTGACGAAGGGTGTGAGTCGTTCGACCGTCTCTATGTTATGTGCGAACACGTCCAGTCCGCACTCCGCTATGGTCTGGATACAATCCCGGTTACCTCTAAAGTCTGGCACTAAACACTCCACTAGAATGTCCTTGTTTCTGAAAATAATAATTTACATCTGGTTTGCATTGGTAATGTTATTGGTTTAGGCTCCCGGTCCTCATGCATGAGGGTTCGGAACCTGATAAGTATATGACTTTTGGTTTATGATTTTTTTTTGTAGTGTGTATTTAGTATTGTACCCCACTAACTGAAGGTGTAAAACATCGATGGACTTATGGACTTATCATTTTAAAATAATAAGTCTGAAATCACCAATCTACTTCAAGCAAGTATGGTTATTTACGCTCAAACCTTCTTCGTGTACGACGAGCTTGCTTAGCAGTGGAAAATTATAGGATAATGTAAAATTTTGGAATTTCACTATTATAAGGATAGTATTTATTTAAATAATAACACAATAAAAATGAATGAGTAAGAATTTGGTACTCACTGCCTCTTTATTTCCCTTACAGTTTCAGCGAAATGAGCGGAACCGCCATCAGGGAGGTCTGTAAATATAGCAATTAGCAATTGAAACATGTTTTTTTATATCTTGAAAGTAAACCACATGTGTACATACATCTACATACGTACAAACTAGCAACTAGTTCACAAACAATTTTAAGAAAACAAAACTAGCATATTATTCACATTTATAATACAAATTTTGTTTTGTTAACGACTTTTTTTGAGTGGTTATCAAATGATTTTCGTTTCCCAATAAGAGGTTTTAGACTATCACCTCGTTCCTTGTACTCCCGTTCCTACTCTTAGGTCAGAGCCGTGGTGCATTATTGCGCTTGCAACCACTACCCTAGCTAAACATTATCTTTTTGGCCCTATTCGTGGTGGTCTTTTGGCTTTTGGAGGCACACGGGGACCGCTACGCGCCATACTCGGATCAGATTCTGGACTTGAAGTTCGCATACCCGCACTAATTTCGGTGCCCAATTAGATCGTAAATGTTAGCAGCTAAACTACTAATTTCTTTGTTTAATAAAATATGAAATATGTTACCGTCTCTATCAACGGATGTAAGTACGATGTATCCAAGTCCCCACTGGTTGATAGCGTGCGCGGTGTTGTGTGGCTCGAGTGGATCCAGCGGGGGCGGCCGACGAGATGTCTTCACGGAGCAGAACATGCAGCCTCGGGTGCAGGTGTCGCCCATCAACTGTTATTAAAATAGACATCTATGTAGGTATAAAAGGTATTTTTTAGTAATCCAATTACCTTAACAAAGGAATTTAATGCCAAGCACATTTTAAGAAATTATGTTATAATTCGATTTTTGTGTGTGACACAGCTCTACACTAATCTTAACCTACCCATTCTAGCAGTAACTGTTTTTATAAAATTCTCTTTGTCTTTCAAATTACCGCCCGAAGGAGAAACTATGGCTTATTAAGCTAAAAATGTTATTATTATTTTTTAAACCTTTTTTTCAAATAGATTTGCTAGTTAAGTGAGTAAAAGTCTGATGCCTGACATTTTGTATCGCCTCACCCAAAGGAAAATTTAATATCAACCCTAGAGAAAATCTACCTACTAAGTTTGTTAAAATCACAAACCATAATAGTAGCTGTAGAAGTTCCATGTTTGCCTCCACTCCAGCACTCTCCGATGTTAGGACAGCGTGCCTCCTCACAGACAGTGCTCAATTTCAACTCACGAAGCTGTTTTTTTATCCCAGTAAACTTTGACCCTGGAAATATAGACCATTATTATTTTAACAGATTTCATTGTCAGTTTTTGTCAACTCAGGACCGGTGTCACTACCCCTTCATATCAGTACAGTATAAACTTCTGCAGCAAGTTTGTAGTTTATATACAATACATTCTATATTTAAATTTATCTGATACATAATGACTAAGGACATTTTGAAAGAGTATGCCTTTCATATCTGTGAGTCACACTGAGTGATACTCATATCATAGACTCATAGAAAACTTTTGGTATCTGTCTTATTCAATAAAATATAACACTATAATGAAATGAAATAAAGAGCACAAAAAGGTTTTGATAGATTATTATTAATAGTGATTGAATGTTAAACATCTTAATTAAATAAATTATGCTTGCTATACCAAACATAGTGACACTGATAACAAAGTGTGATAAGAATGTTTACATTACTATTTCATTCTCAAGATTAGGGCAAGATGGTTGTTTGTGCTGAATATTAAAATACTATTAAAGATAAAGAACATAAAGATTGGTAACATTTGGTGTAGGTATTTCAGTGTTGCCTAGTTCAACCCAAAATATATTTAAGTAACTTCATACATTATTTGTCTAGTACTCCCTGTGCATATATTCAAAATTAATAAGGATTTGCATAACATATATTGTTATAACAAATGGCTTATGCAATACGGACAATCATTACATTAGGTCACCTTTCAAGAGAAATACTTATGAATACTTTACATATTTGATTTATGCCTGACATTTCACCATTTCATAAAACAGTAAAGTATTAATATGCAATGCGAAAAATGTTTGTGAAATATTATATTTAAAATCTTTCTTATACAAAACAAGCTACACACACGTGTTTTGCAAACTTACAAACATACAAACTAACAAATTTTACCTCTTTATAACATTAAGTTGTATAGATCTACATAATAAAACTGACTGACATTCCAAATTATACATGGAAAATATCCTGATAACCAAGATACATTACCAGTTGGTATGGTCGTCTTCAACCAGGGTGGTAGCCTTAACCTTTCAGCTTCTCCTTTTTCCCTCTTCAGTTTACCCTCATAATCCTCCCAGTCTTTTGGACGGTCTTCAGACACAAAATCCGCAAAACTGGGACCTTCACGTAACTTCTCTCGAATAGCATCAAGCTTACTTGTATGCTTGCACCTCTGAAACTAATCAGTTAGAAGCATTTAAGACTAAATAAAGTGACATACATCTAAATATATTCATATAAATAATAATTATATACAAGTTCCTATTCAGTTTATGTTTTTTGTGATTCTATTTTATTATACACTGTGTCATTAATTATATTTCCTCTCATAGGTATGAGCAGGAATTTCAATAGGAATATATCACCTATGAACTTAAATTTTGTCTTGTTTTTTTGTGTACCATACATAATTTGTTTGTAAATAATAATCTATGATTTGAAGTGCTACCTATAATAAGTAAACCAACAGATTTAGAGTTTTCAAAAAAGTGATATTCCTCTAAAAAGGGATTGTGTGTACAGTATAGCATTAGTCGGATATAATGTGCAATGATCTGATCAAATTAACCTTTACTAATAAGAAACTTACGTCATGATTTCTGCATATAAGTGGTCTTAACCTATTGCGAAACATTTTAACTAGAACATAAATATAATAATTTATCAAGCCGGATCTCCTTTACGAAACAATTAACACTACGAGAAACAATTTTAATTATTTTTCCGAAGCACAACAAAACATCGTAGTATTTCAGCTCAACACTGACACCAGTGACATTCACATATGCATGACAATGACATTTTTGATTTTCTGCTAGATTGGTGATGTCCATTCTACCATAGTATTTTATAATAATTTTATTAGTAGATTCTCATTATTTTTATTATCAAAATATTATTCCCAATATGATATTTAATAACTTTTTATCCAAACTAATATTATAAATGCGAATGTAACTCTGTCTGTGTCTTTTCTTCACGCCTAAACTACTGAACCCTCTTGTGTAAAATTTGGTACACATATAGGTTGGGCCTCGAGAAAAGACATAGGATAATTTTTAAACCAAAAATCTGCAGGAAGTCACAATTTCACGAGAACAAAGTTACGGGCAAATGCTAGTTAATAATAAACACACACATCATTCATTCTCATTTAGTTACTCGTTATTCTCAATCAAGTGTGAATTTGTGTGTGTTTAGCAACTCGCACCACATAATAAATTATTTTAGTTTAGAAAAATATTTATTGAAATATCTGTGTGTCGTTTTAAGGCTTTCCCAATAAAAATAAAACGAACTAACATCGACTATTCGACTAAATTGGTACACGTTCGTCTCTATGAATAAACTTTTTTACGACTTCAATCAAAAATCAAAATTCTAGCCTCCTAGGGTAGGGCTTTGTTTGTAAAGTGTAGAAGAAATTTAATATACTGTTAGTTAAATGATAGAACAGAAAATGTTTAGAAGTTTAATATGTTTTTAATATATCGTCTTTAAAATTCTACGGAATAATACTAGATAAATAACTAGTGACCTTGAGCGTAAGCAATACAGCTGTCAAATAACCTAACCAAGATTTTTGTAAACGAAAAATGAATACAAGTTTCTTTTGTGAACATTTATTATATTTAACGTAGTTAAAGATAATTTGTCGCAATGGATGAAGCGGTTACGCACTATATAAATTCCCACCCAGCTGATGAGGTAAGTAAATTATAATTTTATGTATTATGTACTTACAAATTGTATTAGATGTAGTTAGGATATTGAGTTTTTAGTTCTAAATTTGAATTGTAATCGCATTTATTGAAGTGTATCTAAATACTGACCTAGTTAAATGTTTAGTATAATGCAAAATTGCGTTCTTCTAGTTTAAATGTTTTCAAATTGGTTTGTTAAATATCCATGGTATTATAAACAAGTGTTTTTGTGTAACAAGTGTTATCTTTGTCTGCAGGCTGTGCATGTCGATGGCAATGCCTTGGCCCTGGCATTGGTGCAGGATGATGGTGGCAACAGGGTGTCTATTATGCATTCACAATCCTACTCCTCTTCACTCTGCAGGTAAATTAGTTTTAAAGGCACTGTTAACTATGTAAGATACAAAACCTTCCATATAAAACACAATAACAAACCACATCCTACTAATGTTATTAAAATGAAGGTTGATAATTGGTGAAATTTGATTCAGAGGGTCAGAGAACTTCAACTCTTTATCTTGATATTGATGAAGTTCCTGGCTGAAGCTAGTAGGTATGTGATAAAACCAACATTTTGAATCAAATCACAGTGGAAGTAATTCATTGCAGTGTGTGTCAAGTTTCAAACAATTTTTTCCAATAACTTGATATTGGTTGACTCTAAAAATTTAATATTAATAAACCAACTGAAAACTGCTGCTGTGGAGTTGTAATAAACAAAACTGACTCTATTCTTGTAAACACATGACAATGATGAAGCATGGTTACTCGTTTGTATGTTACCCAAAAGTATTATATCACAACTATTTTTTATTACAGTAGACAGGTTACCCTGGCTGACCAAGTGGCAGATGGGCAATGGAGTGAAGAGCTGGTGGATCCAGATGGTAGAATTGGAAGGCTGGCTGCCCTCATGGCACATTTCCAGGCACAGCAGTCCAAAGGACCACCAGGACAACTGCAACATAAGGTAATTCACTATGCTTTTTATTTACAATGAAAAAAAAAGCAATTTATTTGGGACAGTATATGGTGATTGGTGTGCTTGCCACATAACAGAACTTAACACACCTACGACACAGGAGAAAAGTCTAGTGTGGGACAAAGTTTTTTTTTTGAGATTATACTGTTAGTCATAGATTTTCTTATTTTTCCAATGAAGCAATTGTTTGTTATTTTGTTAAGACAGAAAAAAACAAATAGAATATAATGATAACTTATTAATTATTTATATCATGTTGAAGGCATACAAGTTATACAGTCTTTAATACAATCTAGACTGAATCTTATGCTCTATCAAACTCTTGTAAAACTTACTTTACATGTAGTTTTATTGCCTGACAAAGCAATTGACTCAAATCAGAATGAATATATTATTAAATTCGTTTTCTTTTCTACCTCTCAGGTGCAGACAATGAGAGGTGATGTGGACACATCTATTATGCTTGATAATTCCATGAGGCTATTCCATGGTCAACCTATGGTAAGTCATCACTATATTCACTTATTCAAATAATATTTTAGCTTAGGTAGACAAGAAACTAAGAACTTTAAAGAATGGTTCAGCTTGTCCACATTCTAATTTCATTATATCTCACAATGTATGACAATTTTCACTGAAATGTAGGAGAGAAATACTTTTGCATTTGTAAAGAGAGATTTTGGCATGGGATAAACAGTGTAGTAGCAAGTCATATAATGAAATATTGTCTTTATTTTTTTGTAATGAATACATAGTTACAAATTCTTGTATTAATTGTTTCAGGATCATTCTCCAGACTCAATTGTAGTGGAAGTTCCTCATTTGCCTCCGTTGCCTCCTCTGCAGCAGATGAAGAGGTGTCAGGATAGTGATTGGTTCAATAATAAGGCGAAATCATCACTAAAAGTAAGACTGAAATGCTAAACTACTTATTTCATTTTAAACAATTGTCAAACATGGGTATTTTTCTAATCATAGTCTGCTATTTATTGGAGCATAACAATATTATGTCTGACGAATTTGTATGCCTTAATGCTGAAATAAATTTCATGACAATAATATTTGAAAGAAACAAGAAAGAAAGAAAGAAAAATTATTAATTTGCACCGTAAAAAAATTTATTAGATACAACTTATATGGAAAGTACGGCGCAAAAAGGCCAAGTGCTCAGCTAAAATGCCGTGACCCGAGAGCAGTAACTCGAGTCGCGACGCTTATTTTCAGCATTGATTTGATTATGTAATTTCTTCTTCAACAGGACGACTCATCCATGATAGATTCAGATGGGCCAGTGTTAGAGTTAGGCGCGGGCGCATCCCCTGGACATCACAAGCACCAGAGCAAGAAAAGTCTTCCACACAAAAAGAGAATTTCTAGAAAACTGAAGAAGAATAATGGCAACTGTACACCCCAGCAGGTCAGTGAAGTGTAATATAATTGTTATGTACTAGCTTGTGCCAGCGGCTTCCTCTGCATTCCCTGGGTTAACATTTAATATAAACTTTAATCTGCCTCAGTACTCTATTTCATTCAAAATTTATTCAGTAGTTTTTCACACTTATTTGAACTAATACACCAACAGGAATACTTCTGGTGACGATTTGATAGAGAATTGCTGCTCACTATCGATCAATATTTAATTTTAGTCTAAATTAAATGATGAAAGGGCTATGTTTTTATAATAACTCGTGAGACATACTAAATTAACTAAAAATCGCGGGTTACTCGCCGACGCCGACGCCGACGCCGCGTCCGCGAAACTAGTAGAGCTTTTCTCAGTATATACACGTGAGTAACTCGCGATTTTTAGTTAATTTGATGAAAGAGCCGCCGTCATCTAAATCTATACTAATGTTATAAAGAGGAGTCATCTTTTACTGACAGCTACAATGTTCCTGAGTACTATGCTATGACAGCTTACCAATTGTAATGTATTATTATTAAGAAGAAGAGTTTTTTGTTGTTTTAACGCGTTATCTCCAGAACTATTGGTTTGAATGGAACAATTATTTTTCTGTTGGGTATTTCAATAAACTTATACCGAAAGAAACATTATGCTAAGACATATATAGGAGCTAAGCAGCACTTGAAACTGCTGGATTAGTTAGTTGAGGATTTTTTTTTTTGAAGAAACTATGCTCCACGTTAGGATTTTCGCCTGTTGTTGTTCGTGGGCGCGTTTACAAACATACAATTTCACATGCACATCACACGACCCGGAACAACAATCTGTGGATCACACATAGAGTTGTTCCGTGCGGGAATCGAACCCGCGACACGTTGCGCGGCAGCCAGTTGCCCAGCCACCGCGCCAACCGTGCAGTCAAAGAGTCAGATATATCTGTGCCCTTTAAAAACAAGCATATACATTTCAGGATTTGGTGGTGATCAGTTGTGCAGACCACAGCCAAGAGCAAGAGATCCTGCCTGATACCTTCGTACCGCAAGACCATATACCGGAGGAAACTCACCATATTACACATGAGGTACGTTGGGGGCATTTTAACCTTTATATTGTGGGTGACAGGATATAATTTGGGCTGTGGTAGGAAATTTTGGAACAAGATTTTTCATTTTAACATTTATATTGTAGCTGGCAGGGTATAATTTGGGCTGTGTTGGGAATTTAAGTTTTATTACATATGGAAAAATATATTGTCATTGTATTGAACTAGTTTATTTGTCAATTGTCTGAGTGTTATTGGTATACGTCAACTTTATTGCTTTTAAATAGTAACACAAATGTGATTTTGGTATAATTATACTGCATGTTTATATTTGTATAATATAGATCAGTCAATATAAAAATACTAGTTTCCAACCGCGGCTTCTTTCCCGGGCGGCAACTGTCACCTATCTAAATACAAAATTTGAACTGTAGTGGCTTATTTATGATCAATAAGTATTATGATTGTACGTGTTTTGTACTCTCACGAAAAGAGGGGCATAGCCTAGAATTTTTAATAAAAATATTGCATTTGCAAAATTGTTTCAGTGTATTCTAACTTTTTCGACAGGTCCGGCCGATATTTATCTGCCAGTTATGTGGGGAGTTCTATGGTGACGAGCAGCTGAAGTTCTACCAGCATTTGAAGCAGCACTACGAACCTCACATCATCATTGAGAACCCAGTACCTGATCTTGGAATTGATAAGGTATGTGGTTATAAATCTAACAAAGTTAGTCAAAAACTGACAAAGTAAAAAAATGGGTTTGAAAAATTCAATAGATTTCCAAATTTATTATGTAGCAATAAAGTTGAAAATGTATTAAATAAATTCACGACATATATCTGGCATTTATCTGGGCTGCCAGCTAAGATAAGTTTAAACACTAGTGCCATTATTTATTGAATGTTGTAGTGAAAATCTCCTTTCTTTATATTTAGTTGAAACATGTGTTTTAATGTATCTTATACCAATCGATTAAAAACCTCCTAATAAATGTGATATAAGATTCAATTTTCAACTTTATGCTGAAAGAATTTAAGTTTATTTTTCAATAGTACACTTTTTCCATACATGAAGAAATCAAAAATTTTACTTATGCTTGTCCGTTTTCCACAGATAACAACCTCATGCATAGTAGACAATGTAACAACAATCCCCGATTCAATAGTAGAACTATCTCTAGAGAATTCCATACCAAAAACTATGTACCAGCCTATGGATAAGCAAGTTCTATACACGACAAGCGATAAGACGTACACGTATAGCAACAATAAGGTGCAATATTCTATGGCAAATATGGAAAAAGACCAGCCGAGCGTGGTACAGGAAGTAGAGAAGGCGGATTTGTATGAGACGTTGGATAAACTAGATCTGTATACTTGTGGGAAGTGTAACAAGTCGTTTAGAAAGCAGAAACAGTGTGAGGCACACATTAAGGAGGCGCATTCCAACATGAAGGTGAGTGTACGGTCCATTTAGACATACCCGACAGTTGTATTTTCGTATGGTAAAAGTTATTTCTGATATTCACAACACACATCTTACAATTTACTTGGATTTGTATAAAGCTCAAAAAACGACAAAAAATGCTATAAAGTTAATTATAAAATGCAAAAATAAATATTACCTATATAAAAATAAATATTCAATGAGGTACAAACATGTGATGTCATCATATCTATGTCTCAAAAAGTATATTTATTTTTGCAATGGTGCTAGAAAAAATCGAAGTTAAAAGATCTTTTGAAGTGTATTCATAGTTAAAACATTGATAATAATATGATTATTTTTGAATATTGAAATCTTTTGAAAAGTTTTAATAATTTGTTTTCCATTGAAGAAAATTGATTGTCTTTTTGCATGTTCAGTCGGGTAAAAATAATATCCATTTTTACCCGACTGAGAAATGTAGAGCTTACAAAGAGGAATGTAGAGCTCTTAAAATTTTGGCTGAATAAACTATGTCCTGACGTCATCGCCATTTGCCAAGTGTTAGCATTTTAGTATCTCTCGCTTAAAGAGGGTGTTTTTCATTAATCAACTTTTTAAAATGATAATAAATTAACTTCACATTAATTCCTTAGTTGGAGGACATGGGTGAGTTCAGTGAGCCGGAGGACCTGATGGAAGGTATCCACGTGGCGGTGGAGGAGCCCCCCGAGCACTACGACCACCCGTTACTGCCGCACCTCACCATTGAGAACGGGTACGCGCATCAGGACAATGCGAGGCACTGGTCAGTATATTTTACTATAGTATACTAGCTACTCTAGCGCGGTTTCACCCGCTGCTCGGCTCCTTAAGATCGTATCGTGATGTTATATAGCCTAAAGCCTTCGTCGATAAATAATGTATTCAGCAAAGAAAGATATTTTCAATTCGAACGAGTTGTGCCTGAGATATAAGCTTCAACAAACAAACTCTAGCTTTATAATATTATAGAACTATACATATAACTAGATATTTTACTATAGTATAGTTTTTATATTTATAGGCTTCGCACGGAAGCAATGCTGGCGCCAAATTTCTCCTCCGTTGTTATTATACATACAAATCTTCCTCAATCACTCAATCTATTTAAAAAAGACTGCATCAAAGTCCATTGTGTAAGATATAAAGATTTATGGAATATAGGAACAGAGAAGGCAATTTTGTTTTATACTACCTTTTAAAATCCACCGGCATACTCCTATTACTGTGGAGTGTGCATGATGTTGTATGGTATGTACCGGTATCAGCATTTTTAACAGACTTCTTGTATACTAGGTATGGCCGTAATACAAATGTAACGAGTCCAAGTTCGGCCCCCCCGGCTACGAGCCAGCCTAGCAGTGCTCCGGAAACCGTCCCTACGACAGGCTCGCCCTGCTGCACTACTTGTACTACTGCGCCACAAGACACACAGAATGTTAAGATGATAAAAGGTAAACGTTTATTTTTACTATCCATGCCAAATGGTTTGATACTTTAATGCTTCAGTCATAAGGTGCAAGTTCATAATCAGAGTAAAATAAAGTTGCTTAGTTATAAAAAAAAGATTGTAGAATTGCCAAGGAAGTCCTCTATTTGGATTTTTTGGACTTTGGTGGTGTAGGTGGCCATGTGTCCATTTAACATCAGGTAATTAGGCTACTCATTTGCCTCCTATTCCATAAATAAAACTTTGTTGTTTTTATCTCCAATTTGTCCCTGTTAGCGGACGCCTATTATTAATAAGTACATAGAGCAAAAATTTTCTTTTCGTTTTATGATTATTGGAAAATTAAAACCGTGTTACTATGTTCCTTTTTTTTTGTACCAGATGAGATACTGCGGCGGATATTAGAATCAGAAATAGCAAGTCCAAACTTCCCGAACCATATGTTGGGCGGGGCGGCCGAGGCTGGGGACACGAGTGACGCGGCGGAGGCCGACCAGTCGGCGGGGACGGGGGCGCCGGCGCCCTCCCCGCCCGTGGAAAAGCCGCCCGACACTAAGAAGAAACAGAAGATTTTCGAGTGCGAGCAGTGCCATCGAGTGTTCCAGCATAGAAATAGTTTGTTGTACCATGTACTCTCTCACAGCGGGAAGCAACATGTCTGCCGCGAGTGTGGGAAGGGATTCTACACGGTGGGAGCGCTTAAGGTAATTAAAAAGGCACTTAAATCATTACTAGTTTCAGCCAGTGGTTTTGTCCGCACTACTAGGGTGAATACCCTTTTTTGTAAGGGGGAAAATCATCAAACGACTTCTCCCGCCCAGGGTCGGGAGGGAGTTTTCTGTAATCAACATCTGCAAAATTTTGTACAAAACTGTTTACTAGTTTTTTTGCGAATGAGTAACAAACAAAGGAACTTGAAAGTTTTGTTTTCATGTAGTGACCTTATCTAGAACTTACTAGATGTTAAAACATTCTCAGTCATGTCTGCATTGAGCTGGTCCATGACTCACACCGAATCTATTAGATTTTTAACAATTATGCAAATTATTCCATTACATGTGGTTTAGCTCTGCCGTTATCACTGTTCACTATGATTCTGATTGCGTTCGTGTGTTGCAGATCCACAAGCGAGTCCACAACGGCGACCGGCCCTACAAGTGTGACATTTGTGGCCGCGACTTCCGACAGTGGAGTGATCTCAAGTACCACAAGGTCTCCATACATTCTGACCAGGTCCGGACGCTATTAATTTTTTTTGATAACTTACATAATATATGGTGTTTATTCAGAGGAAGATCCACTTGTGTCCGTTATTGATTGAGTCCGATTAGGGCAGACTTTTGGCACGATCCTAAATGAGTTTTGATAAAATTATTGAAAAAGTGCGCACGTACCGTATGATGACGAGCTCCGGTGTAGCTCGAAATTAGTCGACCATCCTTTGAAACTCAAATTGATCAGTTTTTTACATGCTAAAGGCGACATATTTATTTATGAAAATAATTTGTTGACAGAAATCGTTTAAATGTGAGTTCTGTGGTAAAGACTTTGCTCGCAAGTACTCGCTGAACGTGCACCGGCGCATCCACACGGGCGAGCGGAACTACCCGTGCGAGTACTGCAACAAGACCTTCCGAGCCTCCTCGTACCGTCTCAGCCACATGCGGACCCACACCGGGGACCGGCCGCACCAGTGCCCCACCTGCGGGAAGGCCTTCCGCGTCCGCGGGGACCTGCGCCGACATCTCACCACCCACGACCGCCGGCCCCCGGACAAGCCGCGCCCCGCCAAGCAGGAAGACCCCGCCGATGACGACATCAAACTTGAAGTCTCCAAAACCATCAGAAAAATCGCCGTCGCTTCCACCGCCAAATCCTCTAACATTCTCAAGACCACCGACAAGAAACCGAAACCTATTAAAAAGAATCAGAGCACCAAGAAAGGCGCGCCCAACGTGACTATAGACCAGCTGGACGACAGCTACACCAACAACGTGGACGTGTGCGACACGAGGCAGGAGCCCCAGTACGGCAAGTACGGCGCCGCGCCCGCCGGGTACAAGCACGAGCTGGCGGGGACACGGTTCAAGGAGGAACACGAGAACGAGCGGGAGTTCGCGATCCTCCGGCCGATGTTCCGGGGCGGAGTGCTGTGCGAGCCTCCCGCGGAGCCCGGCGCCGCCCTCCGCGCGGAGAACACGGACGGCAAGATGCACGTGTACACGCACGTCGAGAAGGGCGGCGCGCAGCTTCCCATCTCCGACCTGCGGCCGCTGGACCGCGACGTGCGCCCCGACCTGCACGGCGAGAGCGCCGAGAACGAGTTCATCGAGCGACTCACGGCGCTCTACAACATACCGGCGGTATGAGTCACTGTGATACTTATTGCTAGTTACGAATTCGACTTTAGCATTACCACGCCGCTGAGTGCAGGCGCTACTTTGCTCGTTTTTTATTCGATTAAAGCAAAACCGGATACGACCTCGTATCATAAGACTAATAATATTTCTAAGACTGCTATGAAATACGATTTTTCATATCCCTTGTTGCTAAATATTTATTGAAGACGCTTAATTTTTGTTTGTTAATATAAGAGGGACCGAGCTGAAGCCTCGGTGTATCTTCCTGAGCTGTGTAGCGCCTAGAAGCGATTAGTGGCATACAAATAACTTAGGACCAAATTATGTCAAATGAGAAAAGTGAATTAATTATTATAAATACATATTAGAATAGATTTGTACTGCTTTGTTAGTATTTATTAGTATTTTATATCGGCACGGGTCTTACACGAGACAATGTTATGAACTCAATAAAAATATATAAATCGTCCTGTCAGAGATGCTATCACAGCAAAAGTTTATTATTCTAGTTGAATGAATTGGAAAGATTTTAGACTACAACTTCTGGATATTGTTACCGTTGAAACATAGCGAATATTGCGCTTTGTGAGATATCAACCACACGCTTGTCTTCACGTTTGTAAAACGAGCGTATTGTCACGTTACTGAAATAAGCTATAGATGAGTGTTACGTTATACAGCAAACGTTTGTGTGATAGTATAACAGCAATAAAATAATTATACATAATTTTTTGATTGTGTAAGCGATGATTTTATCGAAATTAAGCGTTTATGTATTTAGAAGTCTTAAATGAGCTCGAACAGAGATCTCAATTTTTCTACTTTTATAAATGAGATGTACACATTTAATGAAATAATTGTCGTCTTGCGCGAAAGTTTTTTTAGTATTTGCGCAAAATGACATTTGCGCAAACAAAATAAATGTTACATAATCTTTCGATTTGAATTATCGCTAACACTAATCAATAGACGAGGCCTTGTAATTAACCGAAATATGTATTAGTAATTAGTCAAAAACGTTGTGTTGTTTATATATTTAGACTTGTTCTAATTTAATGATCAAATACATAATATGAAGAATATATAATTATAAAAAACAGAATAAAGGTGACCTCTAACATGTACTGTAAATAATGTGAAATAAAAATGTCTAGCAATGTGCTGAAATAAAAGACTGAAATCTTACTTTATTGTAAAATATAATATAACTTAGGCGTAATGTTTTACTTAATTCTAGTTAACGCATAATTTACCATGGAATAATAAAATGTATAGGGAATTATGGTAACAGTTGTGATGAACGTTTTGTTGAGGAACTGTGAAAGGTCTGGATTTAGGCGACCAAGACAGGTACCAGCTACATTAGGGCTAATCAAGTAATGTTGAAAAGTTAAGTAAATATATTGCTCACTAGCTACTCTCGCGCGGTTTCACCCGCTGCTGCAAATGGAGCCACATTTGATCGTAGTGTGATGTTTTATAGCCTCAGGAACATTGTAGCATCAGTGAAAGAATTTTGGAAATACGACCGGCGGTTCCAAAGATACCCTACATACAAACTTACAATTTTTTACCTCTTTATAATATTAGTAAGGACTATTTGAACTGTTTGAGAAAAGCGTATCGCGGCGACGACGCGCATCCAAATCAAGCAACGCCGCTGTTATGACTAGAAACTAGTCGAGCTTTTCTCGATTAGTTGACGTAAGCAAGCCATATTTTTAATTAATTTTCTATGTCCCACGACAGTTATTGCTCAATAATGGTGAGGAGTGCAACTCGAGGTTCATTCCAAGTACCAAGATAAATTTTAATACTTTTTGTAATAAACTGTTGTTAAAGTATAAATATAAGATTTACTCGTAACTTTGTCTCGGCCGCCTAAATCCAAGATAGTCACCGTACTGATTGTTGTAACTCAACAGTTAGAAGCAAGAATCCTTAAAGCAAGTTATGAAGTTTGTTATAAAAATACTGTAACATTTTTCTTGAACATTTCGTTGTTTAGTAAAAGTGATTGCTATTATTACTCAGGATTCTTGTTACAGGGATTTCTGTTTCTAATCAAAAGTAAAACAAACTGTTTGGTGTTGCCATAAAAAGGGCTAAATGACATATTTTACGAACCTATTCAATGTTCAATTTAGATATCGACAACTTCCAAATATTAGAAAATCTTAACTGTTTAACTATATTATATATGTTTTAAAATACGGTCTTCTAACACAATTGTATAATGCCAACACAGCAATTGATTTTCTCCTATTATTTATACTTCAATTTTTGTAGTAGATCTGTTACAAGTGGATGAAAACCGAGTGAACTTGGACCTTTGAATCACACAACATAAATAGTAAACTAGCTTACTTCTTGCGACTTCAAACGTAAACCTTAATAAATGTTAAACCTTCCTCTTGAATAATTCTATAAAACAACCGCATCAAAATCTGTTGTGTAGTTTTAAAGATCTCAACATACATACGTGGAGGTAGACGCGGAAACTTTGCTTTGAAAGCGACTTAAACTTTGGTTTATTCTATGTAGTGATCAACTGACATTCTACTGTATTTTGAGACGAGCAGAAACTATACAACATATTGCTGGTCTGCAGACAACCATAAATAATAATATGAAAGTAAAAGTTCAGAAAGAGATATACCGTAAAATGCGGTGAAAAGAATACGGTAGTTTCCAACTAGTCAAATTCAATACTTTTATCCAAATGTCAAAAACTATACTTTTCTATGAAATTTGTATAAAGAACTGAGTTATGGCGTCATAGTATTTTTGCGTCAAATATCTGACTTATTTCTTAGCAATTGGCTACAAAATATCTAAAACTAAGTGTATCGATCGATCAATAAATAAAAGTACAGTTATTTTTCAATATTTTATTGTATTGAAACATCTCATTAATTTATTTTTGACCTAGGAAACTACCCTATTTGTTAGGTGAATAGATACACAACATATAGGATAAATAGATGTTGCCCCCCCCTCTACTGACTCTACTTACCCCTCGAAGTCTATTCACCCTGTTTCACTTTTGTTTTATGAGGTCCAATTTTACCTTATACTTCTTTTGACTCATAGCCAATTTAAAAAAAAAGATTTGTGAAATATGAACCAAAAAAATATATATCAAAATGTTTAACTTTGTGTATGTCAGTCTGTTTTCTAGTGAATCAATTTGATATTTCCAAAGTGTAGAAGTACTATGGAGAAGAACGAGATAGTTACTCCATGGTAAGCCTCTTTCAATCAGTTTCACAATTCATTTCTTTGTTAATTCTGCGTTGGAATTTTTATTTATACATTGTATAACCTTCGAAACGATTGCTGGAATTAAGACCATTTTATCACAGTGAAATGTATAGCTTTATAAAAATAAATAATAATATTAATGGGTAACCATTACAAAGTCTTCTCAAATCTGTAGTTTTCTTTATCCTATGTAATTCTTCCTTAAATCATTAAGTAGTTTGATGTGTCTGCACTAAATGGTTTTATCTGTCTATTTCTTTATTATTTAGTGATTACCGTAGGAATGTTTCCAGCTACAATGTGTATAGCATTTTTTTTTAATATGTTGTCCTAAACCTGATATACAAACAGTTAACGACAAATTAACCAACCCAAGAATTCTGAAATTTACACACAGACATTTTACATTACAGACTCCCATGATTGCTCAATCATGGTTTTAAAGGCCGCTTATAGATTTATTCGTGGAAATGTGGTAATTAGTCGTTGGTTGAGGAAACATTCCTATTGAATTAACAGCAATATTTAGCCAGAAAAATATTTGTGAAACAGGATGCAGTAACCTCATTTGTAAGATGTCATAAATTGATGGACAGTTCTGTCACATTACTTTTGGATTGAGTCACAAACGCATCGTATGTTGCCGCTTCGGCGTCGTTTTGAAGTTGCGATTGTGTGTTTTCTGTCAGTGGATAGTTAAAATAACGGACGAATAGTTTCCAATAAGAAATATTCAATACTTTTAAGTGTCAAAAACGATACTTTGCCATTTTGTATTGGATAGCAACATTTTTACGTCAAATAGCATAGGTACTTATTTCTATACAGGTCTTACCGTTCAAATAACTAAACATAAAAATATTTTGATGTCCGGTGCTTATGTTGATGTCGTCTACGCTATATTTATTCAAAGTTTTTGATGATTGGATCTCGATAAGTACCTTACGTATTGGTTGTAACGGTGTGTAAGTCTAAGAATGTCATTAAAATATTACAGAGTAATAATAATATAATATAGTACCTACTTTAAATACTTTTGTACATTGCAAATATTTATAATTTATCATTAGGTATAGCTATTATCTTTCAAGAGAATAAAAGAACAGATGTTTGTTAGTTTCTTGTTTTATTTTCCACATTTTGTAAATTAATCACGTTACCGTACGGGTGAATGAATACGGAAAAGGAGTGTATAGATGGTGAACTTTCCTAGTAGGTATCTGTTCACTCCTCATATGTGTCTATTCACCCCTCGAATTCTCATCACCCCTTTTACCGTACACCAGATTCCAATAACCGTCATAAAAACCGTACACATCTACTTTTAAAACTAATATATCTTCGATCTGGAGTTCAATACATAATTGTGGGAAAATTATGCTGTGGTACGAATGGGCTGGCTCGAAGTATACTCACAGAAAACCGGCGTTAAACAACGGCCCGATTCCTTCTCCGCTAAAGGCCAGCATCGCACTTGTGGCTGCCCTGAAGCCACGGGTATTCATGGGCAGCGCCAACGCTTACTACCATATATGTCTGTTCATTTGCTATTTGAAATAAAAGGGTTTATTTTATTTTGGGGGTAGGTATGTAGGTAGTAAATAAAAATATTTAAAACTAACCCCTGCCAGCGGCTACTCCCCCGTTCCTCTGTTGAGTATTCTGATTGTATAAAGCCAATTTTCTCTGAACATAGTCACATTTTTCTCTGAGTAGGTACCTTACACGACTCGAGAATCTAACTCGAGACGTAGGTATAGCTTGACAGTTACGCTTGCGTCCCTTGTACCGCAAGCCTTTCTTCCAAACGAAATAATTTCTTTGAAATTCACGTTTTCCTTAATTCTTAAGTATGTATCAGTAATTAAAGAATTTAAAGTAAAAAACAAGCAGCGTCCCAATGAATCCAATACCGATGATTTACCCCGCAAGATCTCAAAGAATCCGAGTGGTTTCCGTTTGAACCCCAGCCAACTATTTCGTTTATTTCCCCTTGTTTAGACAATATTAGTCACTTTCAATGTTATTTTTGTAAAATCGTAAATCTCTCGATTTACTTTGAAGTCTTCTTAAAGGTTTTCAGTTCATAAGTAAGTACCTGGATATTTTGAAAGAGCAATAATACGCAAATGTGCTCTATGCCTTGTAAAATCATAATGAATTCAACATTATTGTAGGGAAGTATTTAAAATTGAAATATAATAGTTAATTGAATTATATGATTAGATACATTAGCCAATTTAATTGCTAATATAGACAAAGACTTATAAACACTTGTAGGTATCCTAGGTCCTTCTTTCTAATGAGGTAAATTAGATTTTTTTTTAAGTAGGTACCTATATCCAGATGAAATTGATTACCGTGGTCCCTTTTTATTTTTAAATTGATTGATTGTCCTGACTAGCTTATTAATTTTAGGTCCTTCTTATAAAAGTACTTGGTTCGAATGTGATGGTCTTTTGAAGGCTCTTTGCTACAAGGCGCTCTAACAAAATTGTGATCAATTTCGTTGAAAACGGTACAACTTAACTTTTCAAAGGATCTAGGCAATGCGTATTTGACAAATAGTACAATTATTTACGTAAGTAGTTATTTAATTGAAATACAAAATAAAAAGAAAAGCTGATCGTTTGGTATCTATAGGAACTAAGTATCTACTAAAATTTTGTTTTGACGTTCAAAAGTGCATGTAAAAGTCTAATCGGAATAAATGATTTTTGACTTTGACTTTGACTTTGAATTCTTGAACAATGGAAAGAACAAAAAGTTCGCTATCTGATGAGTATTGCCAATGATGAGTAGATATGTTTACCTCGGATTCTTTGCGTTGCACTTTACGATTTCATTTTAGTGAAACACGATTGTACTTTTCATTATGATGTATAACACCACTTCTATACCGTGTTTTATGCAAATAAATTATATACTTACTTACTTACTACTACTTACTAACATGAGCGTTCAAAATACTTGTTTTATTTTTATCGTTTTTTTTTTCACTAACAAAGAAAATTGGTTGTTTTGATCGACCCGCAGGGAACTATTTACGTGGGCGATATGTTAAAATTAATTTCGTGTAACGTATATTTGCGTGTACCTGGTGGAATTCGTTTCTGGTGTACTGAGTAATAACAAAGGTATTTTTCGTGTTCTCAAATTCGCAACTTCGTGTGCAACT